GATTCAGCCGATGGATCAGGAAGTTATTGCTGCTTTCAAGAAATTGTACACTCGCGCGCTGCTTCGTCGGTGTTTTGAAGCAAGACAATTCTCCTCAACAATGACTTCAAAAAAGTTTTGGAAAGAAAAATTTGACATTCTTGAAGCTATTCGTATCATTCAAAAGGCGTGGTCAGAAGTCACACAGCGACAGTTGATTTCTGCTTGGCTGAAGCTGTGCCCATCCTTCGATCAAGGTGACGGAGGTGATCAGGGAGACACCCCTGAAATTATGGATGAAATTTTGACAACTGCTAGAGATCTGGAATTGGAGGTGAACGAGGATGACATAGAGGAGCTCATAATGGGACATGAAGATTAACTGACGACAGAAGAACTCCAAGAAATTTTGAAGGAAGAAACACAGCGAAATGTGTCTCCTTCTGAACAAAAGGAAGACGAAAGAGGATACCAATGCCGACATCTGCCGTTAAAGATCTTTTGAAAAAGTGGGAGGATGTCAGAGCAATGGTCTTAGAATGTCACCCAAACTAAGCTGATGCCAGTAGAGTTGGGGAGAGAAAAGCAATCGACATTGGACATGTTCTTCAACGCCCCATAAGCAAAAAATGAAAAGGACTGATTAATATGCAAAACTATATGTATGTATTATTTTTTAAGAAACTTAATAAGAAATTATACATTTTTTAAAATTTAATTTTTAGGGTCTTCAGAACGAATTAATCGATTTCACATAGAAGTCTAAGGTGAATCGATGATCGGTTAACGAACAATTCGGATAGCGAACATAGTCTTGGAACGGATTATGTTCATTAACCGATCACCCACTGTAATAGTAATATATATAATCCATATTTGCATCCAATTTTCATTACCTTTGATTTATTTGACAAATTATTTTTTTATAATTTCAGACAATACTTTTACAAACAAAATTTTTGTATCGTCGATTATTTTAGTTTCTTTAATATCTATACAAGACACAATAATTTTTAATTGAATAAATTCTAATTCCTTATTGGTGCAGTATTGCTTATCAGTGCAAGCATAAATTTTTTTATATCTAAAAGCAGACTATTTCATCAAGATTTTTATCTCCTTTTATAAATGATGTTTCTGATTCCACTACATTTTGTTGTTTTTTTCCCTTCATTCACAGTAAATATTGTACTTAATGAATTATTCATTTCATTTTCAGTTGTTAGATATGGAATTTTTTCATTTTTATTTCAATTGATCATTACATCCTGCCTTGTCCTGTGTTTCAATATTTATGTTAACACTTATGTTAACTATCATTTCTGTTTCTCAGTTCTTAATTTTAATTAATGAGTTTTCCTTGTAGTTTATTTCTTTCTTATTTCCTGATTGTTAGGTACTNTATTTGTTAGTTTCTTTTTGCCTTGGTTTAGTATTAGTCACTCAAAATAATATTTTTATTAATTTAATGAATTTACCATCTTAATTTATATATTTCTATCTGTTTACCCAGTTTTTTTCTATTTTTAAAATAGAAAATCTGTTTAATCTGCATTCTTTGAGTTTTTCTTTATATTCTTAAAAGCTTACGAAAGGTGATTAAATGCAATTTAATTTTAATTAAATACAGATTATTTGTATTAAAAATTTCTTTATTTAGTTTTTTTTAAAAAATTTTTTAAAGGATTACTGAGTTGAAGAAAAGCTATTCCATTTTTTAAATCTATTATTATTTATCTATGATGTTTTATTTGATGATAAATAATCATTATGCCATTTTTAAGGTCCTTGATTTCTAGAAAAAAAAGTCCTTAATTTTTTTGATAAAAGTCCTTAAAAGTGCTTAATTTTTGCTTTGATAAAAGAGCTAAATTAACGTTGTTTTAAAAATATGTTAGAAAATTTATTAAAAAAATACTTGACTGAAGAAAACTTTTTAGTTATTTCTTAAACTGTTGTTTGACAATTGAACTTTTGAAAATACTTATTGTTAGTATTATAAATTTTAGGGTGAAAAAAAAATCAAGCATAATTTTTTCTCTGTTTTGAGATATTTTTAAAAATATTAGCTAAGTATTGTTAATTTTAAAGTATTAACTAATATATTCTGTTTTATTCATTGGTTAATATTTTACTAGTGTTTTTTTTTCTGATTTTATTCAAATAATATTTTAGGCTATCCTAATTGGTGCAATTAATTCTAATTCAAAAAGTCTTTTACAAATTTATGTGGTATTAAAAAAATATTTTTCCGAACGACTTTTTCATAATTTATTTACATGCACAATGGTAAATGATAAGGTAAAAAATGAAATCCAGCATCAAATATAAAAACAATTGAAGATATTTTGAAATTGAAAATTTGTTTAATTGAAAGTATTAAAAATATTTGTATCTAGTTAAACTTCAGAAGGAGATAAATCCTGAAGCTTCAAAAGTGTTAAAAAAGTTCATAAGAAAGTGCATCAAAAAAATGTTCCACAGTACCACCATGTATTATTTTCAACTGAAGATTGTAGCTTTTACTATTGCAGTGGGCTTATGTTGCAAAAAGATTTAATTTGTTTCTAGGCAAATTTTGCAGAACCATTACTTAAATGTTTAATGAAAAGAATCATTAAATAAAAAAATATCAAATACATTGAAATCAAAAATCAAGCATAGTACTGCAATAATTAATACTTTCATACTTCAAACTCATTATCTTCATTAAATAGCAAATATAAATAACCAATAGTTTGTCATATATTGACTCAAAACAACCAATTGATTAAAATTGAATTTATAAACATTTTGACCCTTTTTTTTCTGTTAAAATGAAGTTTGTAAACACAAAAAATTTTTATGAGCCCTCATTAGAGTGATTTGCTAATACAAAAAAATTATAAGTTTATTCATTTATCAAATGTTAATATTTCTTTGTATTGATGTCATATTTCAAACAATAAATGTTGCTGTTATCCAAATGATAAGATATTTGTAAATAGTAAACAATATAATTCGTAAACAGGCAATTTGTTTTTCAATCAGAAAGTAAACAAATCAAAAATATACATGTATTTTTTTTAAAGGCAATGCAATTTATTAAAAACAGAATACCTTTTTTTTGCTAGAAAACGAACTAGATGGCACCACGAGATCTAGAACTCTTACTTATTAACAATTTTGTCAGACGAGTATGTTTATGTTACTGGCGATCGAGAGATCATGTTGTATTCGTAGTGTTGTTTCTGTAGTGCTGTTAATATACTCAAGTTAACTAATTCGAAGGAGTATCTTTTCTTGAGTTTATGTTCATTATTTTGATTTATTTAGATACGAACCGCCCGGGTTGAAGAAAAGGTAAGAAACCTTTCATTGATACCTGTTTCAGTTGAAGATATAAAAGAAATAAGTTATCTTTTTTAACAAGGCATCCCTGCTAGGACTATCGGTTCGTATTTTAATAAAATAAGAATTATTGTTATAAATATTTGATTGATAGTGTTATAAAAATAAATAGACACTGGAACTGAAAATATTGTGAATAATAATAACTCTAAAATGGCCACAGAAATTGAGCTCCTTAAAAAGAAACGCACTACGTTAAGAACATCAGTTACTAAGCTAATTTCAAAGATTGAATCAGAAAGTAAAAAAAACGAAATAACTGATGAAGAAACCGAAATTGATCGAATTATTGAACAATTAAATGATAAATTCGAGTCTCTCAAAACAGTTGATTCTGAGTTAGAGAATCTGTTTAAACCGAAGGATTTAGATAAAGAATTAGACACTGCAGAAGAATACCATGAAAAGATAGTAACATGGAGATTTAAAGCTAATAAATATTTGCGTAATTTGAATCAAAAGAAAAATATTCGGGAACCTCTCAATTTCCCCCATCATATAGCTCCTACTACTAATCGGGAAGTGGAAGTAGAAACAAAACCAGAAATGCTGAATATTAAATTACCGAAGATAGTAATCCCAAAATTTTTGGGAAATATAAGTGATTAGCTCAATTTCTGGAACTATTTTGAAACATCGATACATAAGAACAGATCGTTTGATGATGTCAGTAAATTTAACTATTTAAAAGCTCGTCTATGTGGAACAGCTTTAGAAACGATAGGAGGTTTTGCTATTTCCTCAGAAAATTATGTTAAAGCTATTGATTTGCTAGAACAGCACTTGGGAAGAAAAGAAACATTGATAAACAACCACATGAGTCAATTATTAGAAATTACCCCTTTAAAGCGTTCTGGTGATGTAAAAAATTTTCGGCAATTATTTGATAAAATGCAAATCCATATAAGAAGTTTAGAATCGTTAGGTATTTCACCAGATACTTTTAGTACTTTATTATCTCCCGTAAAACTTAAGTCAATCCCAAACGATTTAATATTTGAATTTAATAAGGAATTCGGAAAAAAATATTCTTTAACTGATTTGATTAATTTTTTTTAAAATAAGCAATTGATAGCTGAAGAAAAGACTGATTTAATGAGAGCAAAGGAAAAAGAAAATTCGCCGCCGTATCCGAATATTAATGAAGGTAGTTGGAGTCACCATAAAAGGGGGGAGTGGGAAGTGAAATGTGATCGCAAAAGAAATCCTACTGCCAATGAATTATTTGTTTATGATTCTGCTTCTAAAGCAAGGTCGTGTCCGTTTTGCGGTGAGTTAAATTGTGAATATGGAAAAAGTTTATCTTTAGATAAAAGAAAATCAATTTTATTAAAAAAGGGCATTTGTTTTAGATGTCTTGGGAAAAATCACATGAGCTCAATGTGCAGGGCAAAGGTTAAATGCTCTCATTGCAATAAAAGACTCGTTGAAATTATGTGTTTTCAGGATAATAAATATTCAAAAAATGAAAAACCAGAAATAATCGAAAATACTACACTTTCGAATTATAACTGTTCGCAGGAAGTTTATCTTCAAACTTTAATAGTATACATTAAAGAAAATAATTTGAAACAGTTAATAAGGGTAATAATCGATCAAGGTAGTCAGAGATCGTATGTCACAAAACTTGTTGCTGGAGAAATAGGTTTAAAAGGGTTCGGGAAAGAATCTGTGAATCATGGATTATTCGGTGGAATTGAACATACTGAAATGCATCAAAAATATTGTCTAAATTTATCAAATGTTGATGGAAGCTATAATTGTGAGTTAGAGGTTTTAGATGAGAAAAAGATTTGTGCTTCCTTACCCAAAATGAATGATGCATATTGCTTAAACGAATTAAAAGATCTGGGTATTTATATTAGTGATACGATGATTAATGATAGGTCCTGTTTATATGAAAGAGATTCTGGCGAGATTCATTTGCTCATTGGAGCTGACTACGCTGGAAAGATATTGATAGGAAAAGTAAAACACCTTAAGGGAGGTTTGGTTGCTGTACATACTTTGTTAGGGTGGGCAGTAATGGGTAAATCTGAGGTAGAGGGAACATCTACAACTAGCTCAATGTTAGCATTGTCATTACATGTAAATAATGCAAAAATTGAAGATCTCTGGAATTTAGTTACCTTGGGTATTAAAGATAGTAGTGAAAAATGCTCTAAAACACAGACCCAAGAACTTGCTTTGAAACATTTCAGAGAAACGGTTAGTAGAGACAGTGAGTTGGTTAAAGAAGAATATAATAGTGAACCAGTTACCAAGAGAAAAATCCTATCTATGGCACACCAGCTGTTCGATCCTATAGGGTTCACTTCTCCTATGACGTTGATCCCGAAACTTCTTCTACAAGAATGCTGGAAGATTGGAATTTCTTGGGATTCAAAATTGCCCCTACGAAATAATTAAGAGATTCGAGAAATGGAAAGAAGAATTAAAAGAATTGAGCAACTTCAAAATTCCTCGTAGACTTTGAAACTTAAATCTTTCTATATCAAGCTTAACACTTCATACCTTTTGTGGCACTACCATGGTGGCATATGCGACTTGCATCTTTTTGAGGGCGGAAAGGGATGGAGAAGTTACTTGCCAACTTATTCAAGCAAGATCTAGAGTTGTCCCATTGAAAAAAGTGTCGATACCAAGATTAGAATTACTTGCATGTAACATTGGAGCTAGATTGGCTGATACAGTAAAAAAGGATTTAAGATTGGAAGATATTGAAACATTTTTTTGGAGCGACTCCTTGGACGATCTTTATTGGATAAGGAAAGAAGGCCCTTGGACGATTTTCGTATCCAATCGAGTTGGCGAAATTCGACGACTTTCGGAAGCTAGTCATTGGAAGTTTGTTCCGGGAACCCAAAATCCAGCGGATTTGCCGTCAAGAGGTTGCACAGTTAAAATCCTATTAAAGAGACAATGGCACGAAGGACCATCTTAGCTTAAAGAATCAAGAGAAAACTGGCCTAATTTTGATCTAGTTCCTGATGAAAAAATAGTGTCTGCCTAGAAGAAGAAAATCATTGTATCATCTTTAAATATGACAAATGACGAATTTTGCAACAGCATATCTTCCTACAAGAAAATAATCAGAATTACAGGCTGGATATATAGATTTTTTGAAAATTCCAGAGCAAGCAGTAAGAAAACAGGAAAATTATCTGTAGAAGTGCTTATTAAAGCTGAACTCAAAATCTTGAAAAGGGTTCAAGAAGACTTATTCCAAGGCGAAAAATTGAAGAATCTGAAATTCCTGTCGATATTTACAGACGCTAATGGACTTGTGAGAATTAAAACAAAAATCATTATGCGAGAAGACAATGAAAACTTTAAAGTTCCAATTATTTTACCATCTGATCATCATGTTGTTAAGAGCCTTATTTTACACAAACACCAAGAACTTGGACATCCTGGAGTACAATCTTTAATGGTAGCTCTCAGAGAAGATTATTGGATATTAAAAGCTAGAAAAACTGTAAAAAAGATACTGAAAACCTGCATAACTTGTCAACGATTTAATGTGAAAAGACCTGAAATACCAGAAGGAATGCTCCCGGAGGACAGAGTAAAAACGCCTCAATTTTTGAAGTTATAAGAGTGGATGTTGCTGGGCCGTTGCTTACGAAGGACAACAGGAAAGTGTGAATCGCAATTTTCACCTGTGCGATTTATAGGGCAGTACACTTAGAACTATTGACATCACTTTCAACAGATAATTTCATACTTGCCCTAAGAAGATTTATCGCATGCAGAGGACGTCCTTCAATTATCTACTCCGACAATGGGACTAATTTTATTGGAACTAACAACTCTCTGAAGAATATCAACCTAGAAAGACTAAAGACAACCTTTTCTCCAATTTTATGGAGATTCCTACCTCCGACTGCTCCATGGTGGGGAGGATTTTTTGAGAGGTTAATAGGACTTTTGAAAAGAATTTTGAAGAAGGTCCTAGGTCATACATCCTTGAATTACCAGGAAATTGAAACTGTTTTGTGTGATTGTGAAAGCCAACTCAATTCAAGACCTTTAACATATGTTAGCAGTGATTCCAATGATTTATGTCCTTTCACACCTGATTTATTCCTGAAAGACACTCCTACTAGTAGTACTACGGACTTGGATAGATTAAAGCTAACTGACAAGACAGAATTAAACAAGAGATTTGCATATAGATGATGACTGATGACAGATTTACAAGCAAGATTCCGTAGTGAATATCTGAGTCAGCTGCATCATAGACTGACAGTTCGAAAACCAACATACCATCCTTAAGTTGGAGATATCATCTTGATTTGGAATGATAATCTCAAAAGAATACATTGGCCCTTGGGAAGAATACTCTCAGTTTACACAAGTAAAGGTGGACTGATCAGAAGAGCTAAAGTTAAGACCAAATCCGGAATTCTGATCAGACCAATTCAAAATCTCTGCCCATTAGAACTGGACGAGCAGAATCTCAACAGCGAAGACCACCTGCCAGAAACTTCCAAAGATGAGCCAGAAAGACCATCATCGGACATTCCTGATTCAACTCCTGCTATTACCAGAGTTGGAAGTGTTGTTCGCCCACCCTCCAGATGCCCCGAAACTCAAAAAAGGGAGTGTTAAAAACAGAATACCATTTTTTTGCTAGAAAACGAACTAGATGGTGCCACGAAATCTAGAACTCTTACTAATTAACAATTTAGGCAGACGAGTATGTTTATGTTACTGGCGATCGAGAGATCATGTTGTATTCGTAGTGTTGTTTCTGTAGTGCTGTTAATATACACATGTTAACTAATTCGAAGGAGTATCTTTTCTTGAATTTATGGTCATTATTTTGATTTATTTAGATATGAACCGCCCGGGTTGAAGAACAGGTAAGAAACCTTTCATTGATACCTGTTTCAGTTGAAGATATAAAAGAAATAAGTTATCCTTTTTAACACAATTTGTTCACTTATAAAAATGAGTATAAAACATTACACATAATTTGTTTGTAACATAACAAGGTGGGCCCACACAATAAAACCCGGGCGGATTTTTTTCAAAGTGGGCCCACTTTGCGAACCCTGCATAATTGTCAAAATGAAAGAATTCATCCCCTTTCAGAAACAATGCTGTGAAAGAGGTCACGACCCTCTGGCGAAGGGAGAACCATTAAAGGATAAACAAAAGCCATTGGTCACTTTCTTATAACTATCGATATACACCGTCAATTCCTAGGGGGAGGGTCCAAAACTTTGCTCGAGGGCTGGGATTCCCTGCACCGCTCTTTTCGGGGGTTGCAAGTTCAGGATTATGTTTTGCTATTGCACAGTGGTATAGAATAGACTCCTTTGAATAATGATGTTACCGTCCGCGTTTGAAAGCTGCGAGTTTAGAGGTCATGGTTAGCCTAACTGCAAGGAACCTCTAACCCATGATCCATCTAACACTGAGGATATATTTACGTCCGCACTATGGTCAGCCCAAGCCAGGTGCAGAATTTTTATTGACCAGCCATAGCTGGAATTCGAACCAGAATCACCTCATTGGAAGGCAAACACTCTATCCTTAGCACTCACAAATTACAAATTTAAAAAAAATATGACGAAACATTCAGCTCTCTGATTGTCCTGCTCATAGAAAATTTCATTGTATTCTGCATGCTTTTCTCCACAAACAAAGACAACAGTTTTCTCTCTTATTCAAAAACTCCTCTCTCTAATTTCTGAAGAAGAGTGTTAAAGAAAGAAATTTGTCTATGGGTGACAATTCTTTGGTTTGCAAATGTTGTATTTGCAAATTTCAAAAAATTTTGTTTAAAAAAATTTGAGTAGTTTTAATAATTTTCAGGAAAATAAATCTTGATGTCATTAACGCTTACTCAAATTTTTAGAGGCTTTTATTAATTAAAATTTTTTTTAAAAAATTAGCTGCTACACACACAACATATTGTGTTTTGTCTTTAACACTCAATTTTTAATTTTTTAAATGTTTTTTTAGCTAATGGAAATTACTAAATGCCCAAGTCAAAATTCTTGATGGTCCTATCAAATCATTCTGATAATTTATGTTGGTTTCAGAGCAATTCATGGTGGTCTAACATTTTTTGACGGTCGTCATCATCCAAAATTTTTTATTATGCTTTCATGGTTTTTGATATACAAACAATCTTCCATCATTCCATTATTGAAAATGCTACTTCAATACCATGATGGTTAACCACCAAGAGAAGTTTAATTCTCATAGGCCAACAATTTATGATCATCTGTGATGGTCCATGATGATTCTAACTGTATATTTCCATGATGGTTTAATGGTAATGATGGTTACATTGCAGTGTTTTGCATAAAAAATATTAAATATTGCATTTAATTACAGTTTTGATCTATTTGTAGAAAATATGTGTAGAAAATATCAAATCTATGTGTAGAAAATATCAAATCAATATTTTAAAAGCTCACAAATGCAATTAAATAAAAGGAACAATGGATTTATTATCACTTATCAGTAATTACGTAATCCATAATTTTTTTCTGTATTAATGCTTTATAACCAGTAGAAATTGCAAACTTCTAATTATGCACATTTTCAAACAACTGAACTGGAAACCACTGCTTTGGAAAGCATGAATGGGTTAGGGTTTAGTCTTTTCTGGATGGTCCCTTCTGAGTGATTGGTCTTTTTTTGGCATATCTCTTTCATATCTGAAACTTTTTATTTTGAAGACACAAGAATATTTGAATTCTGAGATCATTGTGTACTTTTGATGAATGGAAAAGTGTTTTAATCATAAGAGAAAATGAGAAATGTTGCTTATTTTCACTTTTGTTAAGTCTGATTACAAATTTCGTAATATAGGTATTTTTAATTCATTGTTTCTATGCTGATTTAGAAAATGTTCGTTACATTGAATTTTTTGCTATTTCAGATTTTGCCAAAGATGGATTTGACTGTGTTAATATTTTTTTTTTGACCTGTACTTTTTAAACACAAAGTAGTTAGCAAATTGTATTGTTACCTTATAATGTTTACTAAATAGCCTGTCTTTTTGACCTTAGGTTGATATTGTTAGAACCATTATAAAGAAGGAATTAAAAATGCCAATTGTTGACATAGCTAATCCAGAAGCAATGGTGGATGGTGGAGATATATTGTTTACAGGTAATTATTATTGGCCAATTGTTATAAATGATACATATTTTTCCCTTTTTTATGTAACAAAATGCTATGCAATGAAATATTACCTCACAGAGAGTCTTTTAGAATAGCAGGGTTGCCATTCCACATGGAAAAACCTGTAAAATACAGGGAATTTAAAAATCACCTAAAATAACAGGAAATTTTGATTCTTTCTTTATGAACTGGGAAAATACAGGGAAGTTTGTTTCTCATTTTCGTATATTAAAAAATGGTGATCACTCAAAGCATAATCTATAGGATATTTAAGGATGATATTTCAGTTATACTAAACTATTTAATTTATTATAGCATTATTAAATCTGTTCCTTTTCCAGCAATTAAGACTTAACAAATATAGTTAACTTAATATAGCTTGCCCAGTAATCATTGTGCTTAATATATTGTTGTGCTACAATCCTGAATGGACATTATATGTACTTTTCTTATGAAGCTTTTTGTTTTTCAGTATTTATTAACCAGATATTCAATTGAGAAAGTACAATGAAGCAAAAAAATAATAATAAATAAATATTCTGTACAACTTTTGTTTTAACGATAACATTCTAATGTCCAATTTTAATGGTTCAAAAGAGTTGACTATCAGCAACATCTCTATATATCATAAAAATTTAGATATCTCATATTGTGGTCAGACTGTTTTGGAGGTTTTGAGAGCCAATGAGAAAGAAAGTGTATTACATGATCAATAACCACAAACAACTAATCAGATATTTGCATGTAACTAACCAGTGAATTCAATCAATAACAGTCAGGCCCATCTCTAACTGATTTGATAGGGGGGGATGTTGAAGTTTATTTTGCCGACTATCATATATATATACATTTAAATGCGCAATGAAACTTTAGCTTCCAAAGTTTATTTTGAAATCATTTCGACTAGTTATAAACGTAATGGTATTCATCGAAATAATTTTTACAGCTCTTAAAAATGCAAATGCCATGAGTGTTTGAATGTGGTATTATTGATAACTAAATGGTACCAGTAATTATTCAAAATAATAAAAAGAAAATATAGTTTTTAAATTTCTATTAATTTTTAATTATTAAATTGGTAACTAAATATTTTAAAAAATTAACTATTTTTATAATGTTACTATTTTTAAATTTTTTATAGCAATTCCACAATAAAATTGATTTATATTATATAGTTAATATTCATTTTATATTATATCAGAAATTTTTCACAATTTTCTTTCTTTAATAAATATGTACCATCTATTCTTCTTATTATTAAAAGCATTTTTTAAGCACCTAATTAATAAAAATTTAAATAAATTCTAAATTTTTTTGGCAAAGCAAACATTTAATCGACTTACGATGAAATACTAAAAATAATGGTCACATACTTTTTATATTTATAGTAAAAATTTTCAAACTTTATAGAGCCTCGAGCTTTACAATTCAAAAAACTTAAAAAAATTTTTAAAATTAAGTTAATAAAAGTCACTGAAAGTAGCGATCTTCGATTATTTTAAATATCTTTTATATGCAAAATTACAACATTAATGCATTTGATAATATAATTTAATAATATGCAGGTTATTTGAAATGACCGCTCTGATTATGCATTTTAAGAAATTTTGTTCCAAGTGAACGTGGAAAAGAACACATAGAATTTTAACTAAATGAGGAAAAAATAGAAGAACAATCAAAAACAGACAAATCACTGTTGAGGAAGGCGAGTGTAAAAAGGCATCAAAGCATGTATGATTAACCAATTTTTACCTATTAAATAGCTTTATAAATTAAAAACTATAACATTCACCTGGCAATCAAACAGACCTATTATTATTATTATAAAGATTATTATCAATATATTGTATTAGATATTTTATTAATTCATATACTTGTTTTTTCCAGTTTAAATTTTAATTTACTACACCCACTGAAATAGATTTTTATCGTTATTTTTGACAAGGCTTATAAAAATTTATATTATGGGTGATCTTTTCATAACATGATGTTTTACATAATAATTACATGTGGTACACATGACAGGCAATTTAAAAAATGTAGATAAAAATTAAATAAGTATTTATTCATTAAACTGAAGCATTTAACTGAAAAATTATCTAACATCAATCATGCCCTTCATGTATTTTTTTTAAAAATCTTAATCTAAATCTTAATCTTAATCTATCTTAATCTGCATTTCTAATATTATGTACATATTTATTTAATTTTAATAATTTTATTTGCGAATAACTATTTTTAATGCTTATTTATTACTAAAATTTTGCCTTTCATTTTTATTTAATAATTTTATGCATTTTTATTATTTGTGTTATAATTTACATTGTTATTATTTTAAGAACTGTGACTCAAATCTTGAATGGGGATACAGAAATAGTTTTTTATAGGAAAAAAAGTACATATAATTTTTTTCATGCATTCTTGCCTGAAATAATTTGTAAAATGCTAAATTTTTTATCAGAATATACTTTTTAATATGAAAATAACACAATATAATTAATAAATAAAACTTTTTAAAAAATTGAACTATATATTCAAACATTATAACATGATAAATCATTAATAAATATTTGTAAAAATTATATTTTTTGTTAATACCTGAAAATGCTTTTCTAAAGAATGTTTAAGTCTTTTTTAAATATTAAAAAAAAGAACGCTACTATAAATAATAAAAAAGAAAGCAAATGAATAAGGCGTTTTTTTTTGTATTTCTTATATATCACTTTTATAGATTTTTAAAAAAGATACTTTTAAATCACAAAATGAGTTTTTTTTCTAGTTAAAACAATTAAAGTACAATTTTGTTAATTATTTCTTATCCGTAAATTATGTTTAATACTTTTTCTTTCATTAATAATATTTTTTTTATTATTAAATATTACTATTTATTTTAACATATTTCATTTATTTGTATTGTTTTATCATTTGTATAAAAGTTTTAATTGTATTATTTTAAGATCTTGTCACCTTAGTGATATTAGGCTACTAAAGAAGTCACACAGGCATTACTTAAATATTTTGTAAATTTATAAAATTTTTGTTAGAATATATTTTTTTAATACGTAAAATACAATGAATATATGCACAAAAGAATTTAACAATCAACAGAAATTTAAAAAAAGTTAAATAAAATTTTAAATACTGTAACATAAGAAATTATGCATGCATTTTCATAAAAATAATATTTTATAGATGACAATATTGTTTTACCAAAATATGTTTAATATATTTTTGAAGAAAAAATTATAACACGCAATGAATGTAAATCATAAAAGCGGAATTTAAATAACAATTTATGGTAAACATTTTTCAAATTTCTAAAATTTCTGTTAAAATGTATTTATTTTTCTAATTTTCTGTAAAATGCATTAAATGTAAACAATCAACCAAACTTTAAAAAAAAAAGTTAAATAAACATTATAACATGATAAATTATGTATGAATATTCATAAAAATATTTTATAGATAGCTATATTGTTTTACCAAAATATGTTTATTATTTTTTAAAAAAAATAATTTAAAAAATGCAATAATATAAAAAGGAATCAAGGAATTTAAATAACAATTGCAATAAATGAATTCAATTTTTTTTCCTCATATTTCCTTAATTATTTTGAAGAAATACAGTTAAAACACATTCTTAGGTATGAAAGGTCCTTTTTAATCCCCAATCAAGTGTAACAAAAAAAAAAATTTTTTTTTGTACTAAAAAGGATATTAAAAAAAAGAGTGACATTTTTAAAATCCATAAACCTTAACTTTGGCTGTTTATCGAGAGGAAAACTGAAAATCCTCACAATTAACATAACTAAATTAAATTTAAATTAATAATGGAAAAACATTCACTTTAATTCATATGCCCACATAAAAAAACATTGTTATTTTTTTTTTTTCTCGCCTGTAAATTTTGAAAATGGATGGTGTCAGTTTGGGAAACAAAATAGCTGAATTATTTATTTAGGTTATCAATTGTTTTTCTGGAATTTATTTGAATCTCATAATTATGTTATGTTTTACACTTTCCTTAGTTTTCAAAGTATCAAATGTTTCTAAGTTATAGATTTAACAATTAAAAACTTATGGAAACATTTATGCTAAAATTATTATTCTGCATTTTTAATACAAAACTATGAATTAAATTTTTACATAATTACAAAATTATTAAGTTTCCTTTTACTAATAATTAACTTAAACAAATGGAAAACTGTTTACTTTCGTCAGAGAGATAATACGGTAGGGAACCGATTATCCGGAACGATCGGGACCATCGCTATTCCGGATAACTGATTTTTCCGGTTTTCTGAATCTATGCAAAAAGCCGTTTTTTATTGTTAAACCCAACTAAAAAAAAAACAAACATAGTTAGAAATAATCTTAAAAAGAAGAAGAAACGATGAAGTAATACACTAATGATTATTTCCAAAATGATGGCAAGGTAAACATCTTTCAAAAAAGAAGAAAAATTCTGAAATCTTATGAGGAAAATTTTTTTTTTTAAAATGGCAGGAAAATTTATCGAATTCCGTTCCAGTTTTTTGGTTTCCGAATAACGGGTTCTGTACTGTATAAAACACATTAAATATGCATAAGAGATGCATCAACGTAGTAACAAAATTGCTAAAAAGAATTATTTATCAAGAAAAAGAAATACTGAAACTTTTCTATTTTCAAACACATTTTCAATAAAATAAGCATTAGTACATTTTTGTTCATAAAGGATTGCAATTTGAACTTATGATCAAAAAAAAAAAAAAAAATAGCTGTGAACAAATATAGAATTTGATATTTGAAATTTCAATTAAATAAGATCTATGAAAAAAAAACTACTATTTCACACACAAAATATAAAAGCTTAGTAAATAATTATTCAATAAAAGGAAAAAGAGCTGCAATTTTTGGAATTTATATTTTTGGAATAATTCCTCTAATTTCACCGCATTTTTATTAATATAATTAATGAATCCAAAGTTACAACATATTGTACTTTG